TTCGGCTTCCGTCAGCCCTTTCCAGTACCGTTTTCGACGACCGTCCTAGCTGCTGTTCACCGGTAAGATCTTTCACTACGCTTTGAGTTGTTGCATTAAAATCTACCAGTCCGCAATAATTTGCAACATCTGTCGATTCACACTAATATGACAGATTAATTCGCAGTTACTCGCGCAAGGGTCAGCAGTCAGCTGGCGACTGGCCCGCCAAGTTGGCGACTTTTGTTGAGGACTGGTTGCTCGCAACCGAGGAGGTCGTGGACCACGAGGGAGAGCCACACACTGAGGAGGCGTACCTGGCCTACCTATGCTAGTACCAGCCATGCACCCATACTAGGGTCACCTTCGCGAAGTCCTTGGAGAAGCAGCCCCACGTTGCGAGCACTAGAGACCTCTACGCCAGGCACCGCGACCAGGACTTCGCTCGTGCTGTGAGTACCATGCATCGCACCATTCCTTTATGTTTTCATGTCTTTCTCTTCGTCAAATTTTACGAATATGTATGAAAAAATTAACCATGCAGGTTGACGACATCAACCGGGTCATCGTTGACGGTTCAACGATGATCCAACGTTTAGGCGCGGGGATTCCGGTACCCGTAGAGGAGCACCTGACGACGTACACGCGGATGGTGGAATCGATGCGCTCGATTCTCCGAGTGCTCACCTGTCGTGCAGACGACGTTGCTCGGGCAGACGCAGCTGTACAGCGGCCACCCGTACCAACTGGTCCCCGTCCAGCTGCGCACGTTCCTAGGCCGACTCCCCCTCCGCACGGAGGTAAGTATTTTTAAGGATTTTTCTGTACATGCCTCGCACATATATGTGAGCCGTTTCACTTGCCGATTGCTTCAGGGTTTCGTGCACCGTTCAGCACCCCGCCTTCCTCGGCTAGGCCTTCTGTTGTGCCCCCCACAGGTACCTAAAAAAACAACATTACTTCGACAATCAATTTACATGCATTTTATGTCTTAGCTTACAAGGGTCCCGTTGTCGATGTGTAGGTTTCGCCCTGTTCGCTATGACGCAGGCCGCCCACTTCTCCCAGGTTGCAGGGTCAGCGTCTCAGGCAGCTGCGTCGACCTCACACTCAGCGCAGTTCTGGCAGTACACCGGGACTTCGTCACACGCAGCCGGCACGTCGAGTCAGGGTCCACCACTGGACCATGCTGGGACCTCGTTGGATCGCTTGCTGCCTTCCACCTTGCTCTTCGATATCACTGACTTCGACTTCGCTTCAGGCTTGACAGAGGATGTCATCGGCCCCTCACAGCTGGGAGGCGCACCGCCGGTGCAGACGCAGGACCAGGCGCTGGCCACTCCACCGCCAGACACTCGTGCTACCCGTGTTGTGCCACCGGATCGTTTCACCTACTCCCATGACCACGTGCGAGCACAGGCCTGGAGGACCAAGCGTGGTCGCGGCGCGGGGCAGGGCCAGTAGAGCAGTCTTCTTTTTGTTTATTTGCTTCACTTTCCAGTACTGTATACTTGTGTAATAACTACGTTGTTGTTATATGTGCACGATACCTTTCGGCGCATGCACGATACCTTTCGACACATGCACGACTACTTTCTGCTGCACCGATGCAGCCTCCTTTATTTGCGTGCGATACGAGTATTTGCCCGCCATTTGCTGCATACGACCAATGTAACTTTCGGCGCCGATCAGGCATGTAACTTTCGGTGCCAATCAGGCGTATCCACCATGCCCTTCCACGTTCACATGTCAGGGATATCACTCGATTTTTTGCGCCTATATAAGTCGCCTTAACGAGTGAGGCCTCACAATCTTTCAGAACTCAGTCAAATTCAGTACTCTCTTCCCTACATGCTTCATTACAAATCCTACCGGCTTTCGTCAATAGCTAGACGCCGGGGTGTTGAGGATCTGAACTGGCTAGCGATCCTTGTGTATACCTACTACCACCTTGGTGCCAGCGTCCTCTCTGCCTATGCGGTTATCGATGCCAACTAATGGCTTCGAGGAATCCTGATATTTGAGGAAGGCGCTTTTTTAGGTGCCCTAACTATGACCGTGAGATATTTTATTATCTTCATATGCTTATTCATTCCGTATGGGCAATCGCTTTATTCTTCGTAACACTACTCTATTCGGCAGACCCGTACTACGGCTTGCACATAATCGAGTGGGTCGATACAGAAAATCCCGTTCTCGACCTAACCACTTGTTTACAAGAAGGTCGCTGGTATTGTGCATCCGAAAGTACTGAGCAATACTTACAGAGAAAAGCGGCTTATGAACGACAATGTCGTGAACAACAGAGCGACTGGCGGGTGCTAACTACGGCACTCCCTCCATGGGAAGCCCGTCCAAGATGCAGGTGTGATGATCGTTGTCAGGTTCTTCGTTCCATAAAGCCTACAACATTGGATCGAAGGTTCTTTGTTTGTCCAAATATTCTTGACGACGATTTCATGGTAAGAATATTTTGATTACATGAATCCTTATTTTCTCACAACATTTACTAACTTTGTTCGCTTTACATCTATTCTTTCCTCCTAGGAACCACCAAGGAGATGTCAATACAGAGAATGGATAGATACCAGAAGGGTTCTAACTCCACCTAGCCGTGTTGTGCAGCTTGAACTACCAGAGCAATACAAGGTTACTAAAGCGTGTTTTGAGAGAGGAAAGGGATCCTCACGTAGGGGCATATTGAAATTTCTACTGTCATGTTTCCTTGTCCCATTACTACATCGTCGTTGTGTTCAACTATTGCACTACCTCCCTCCTAGTTCGAATCTAATATCATCTATGTAACCGCAATGGAAATAGTTGTATCATGTTCAAATTGTACTACTATTTCTTCATGTTAAATAATTCTCCTTGTTTAAGTCCATATAATGTTTCTACGACCGAGACTGCGATAGGCCTATTAATTATCCGAGTACTAATACGTCGAATAAGTTACAAAATAATACCTTACTTAACATATGAAATTGCGAAACAACCAACTTCAATACATTTTTATAACAATATTAATAAGTTTTACCAATAAATACTTCTTTATTTATTATTAACATAACATAGAAAAATCGTTTGGCCGTACTTTTTGCATCTGGGTCCCTTGCTGCCCTCTACTGGGGCGGCAAGGGGCCCAAATGCAAAAAGTACGAGCGCAACCTCTTTATAGGCGGCAAAAATTGCAATTAGCCCCTTGCCGCCCTCTGTATGGGCGGCAAGGGGGTAATTGCAATTTTGGCCGACGGCGGCAGACGGCGCGGTCGACCCGCCGTCTATCACGTCAGCTTGCCGCCCACCACTGGGGCGGCATGGTCTATTTTTGCAATTTTTTTGGCCGATAGATTATTTCTGTAAATATTAAAAAAAATTCTAAAAATGAAAAAAATTCCTGGGCTTAGCACACTAGTTCAGAAGATCGACCGGCCCAACAAGACCACCTGCGCTAATACGGTTATGAGTTATGACTCATTTCAATGAGGCCATCACATCCGAGCACACAAATAGACAAAGACAAGTAACTATAGCTAATTAAAAAGATCAAGAAACAATACAGATAAAATTGCTTTACTCATCGTCGATTTATTTTCCTTGATACAATCCAGCTACAGCATAAACGAGCATACTGAGAAACAAATCCATCCATGAATCATGAACATGAAAATCATCAGAAACAAAATCCGCTCTACCTGTAGAAGCAAACAAGAACCAAGAAGTGAAAGGGGGAACTCCATCTGACACAATCTCCTCCTCCTACAGGCAGCTACAGCTTGAAGAAGGATAGTTCTTGATGTATCTTGGGTTTAGGAATGTTCATTCTCCTAATAAGCTACTTGTACTGCAAATATCTCTCCTCTCCTCTCCTTCTAAAGCTGAAACTAGACTGCTGTTTGGACATGCTTTGAAAGTGGTCAGCTGGGGGGCTCTACATATATTCTTCTGCTGACAAGGATTGCATACATTGAACCTGGACACCTTCATCACCTTTTTCTTTCTCCTCTTTGAGCATATAGTTTTGGGTTTTGGGAATATGACTCATCGATTACCTGGTGGCAGAGAAAATGCATCCATCCTTCTGTTTGTGTATATGTCCCAACCTTTTTTCTTCTTCTCGTTGTGCTGCCTGCCTATACAGTCATATACGCATAATGACACAACTAGCACATTCGATTTGGACAAATTTTATAGTAAATTATGTCAGATTAGGTCGTGTATGATTGCTGCCCTCTATGATCACTAGCAAGCCTGTGACACTCACCGGTCGCTGACAGGCAAAAGACAACTGAAAATATATGATGATCTGTGGTTCACAGGATAATTTCATCATCACACTAGATAATCAACCCATAAAATAGCTTAGTTCAACAGAGTGGCAGAATACAGTATATGTAACATGTATGTCATCAACTTCCTGAACCGGCTGTGCATGCAATGAAAGGAATGTACGTGGACAGAAACCGGGCAACGACAGAGTGCTCTGCCGGTGGTAATATAAGGAATTTTGCAGCTATCTTTCTACGATTCGATCGGAGCTCAGTGCAGCCCAAAGGTCACATTGTATATATTCTCTTCGCCACATTCCATGTCCTAACCTAGGCTATATCACGGCTAGATGCATCCGTTGCCAAGTTCATCCAATTAATACATGCCAACTGCGTAGCAAGGACCATATATGCATTGCACAGTCCACAGGAGGCAGATTACTAGCTAGCTTACTACTTCCTCCGTTTCATAATGTAAGTCATTCTAGCATTACCCATATTTATATAGATGTTAGTGAATCTAGACATATATATGAATCTAGATTCATTAACATCTATATGAATGTAGGCAATGCTAGAATGACTTACATTATGAAACGGAGAGAGTAGCCACCGGCTCTGTGCTCATCAGCAAGGCAAATTAAACAAGTGAAGTGGTCCACATCAAAAACGAGGAAATTAGGTCGATCTAGGAGTCATAATTTGGTTGGTTATCCACTGGAGTTCTCCTCAAACCACTTCAGCAGATAGCTAGCTAGGCCTCATTGCATTGCACCACTGTTGCATAACTATGAGCATGGGGCCAAAAGTTAGCTGCTTATAGTGAAGTGTTTGGGGAAACTCCGGTTGGCAACCAGCATTTTCAAGTTTGGTATGTAAGTGTTTGTACTTCAGGAATTACATGTGATGGCCATATATATGATATTCAATTTTTAAATGATGGAGGTTTGGAGCCCCAAGGAATAAGGGCCGTACCCAGCACCTTAGGCCCCAGTGCGAAACATAAAACGAAATCTTATATTTAGAAATATCAATAAAAGGATACTAAATTATTCAGAAAAAAATATTACGTAAATGGTGGCGGTAACCTCCTTAAGTAAGAAAAATAAGTGAGTCTTAATGTAATTATTTGATTTTCTTTATCAAGCAGAAAAATGGAATGTTTAGTACCTAGAACGCACGTTCATGTCACCGCTATAAACTATATTTCTTTAAGGTTGCCATGATTATTATTGAACATCTATTTGATCCAAAGAAAATAAATATGTTATAGCCAAATCAATACATCAAGATGAGCGGAACTTTTGAAAAAATAAAATGAATAGGATAAAACCATATTGGAAATTAGTGTCTTGTATTGAAATATGAGAATTTTGGGGGGCCCTATGCGGTAGGCCAGTTGGCACATGGCCATCGACGACACTGCCAGGAATTCCCTTCAAGCAATTCATGAAACAATATTTTGAGAGTTGTTGTGAAGCGTTTGGGGGAAATCTCAGTGTCGCCAGCATGTAAGTAAACAGTGCTCAAACTATACAAGGATAAACGTTTGTTATCACCATGAATTCTCTTTAAGCACTTCATACGACACAATTATTTCAAGGGTTGTTGTGAAGTATTTGGCGGAACTCTCTGTGTCATCATACATTTGTAACCGGTGTTTGAACCATATGATTGAGATGAGAGACACGTTTGGTATTGTTGTGAGTTCCCTTCAAGCACTTGACGTCATGTGGCACTAATTCAATGCTTACTGTGTTTGAGGGAACTCTCGGTATCACCAAACAATTAATATATGGTGTTTAAACCACAAGATCGAGATGACAGCCATGTTTGCTATTATCTTGAGTTCTCTTTAATCATTTCACATGGCACTATTTTAAGGCCTACTGTGTGAAGTGTTTGGGGGATTCTCGGTATCACCAATAAGTTATGTTTCAAGCTATAAGAGATGGGACCACTGTTGCAAAGCCTATTAGGAAGTGTTGGGGAATGAACTCTCGATGCCTACTATAGTAAAAACCACACTTGGTATTATCATGAGTTCTGACAGTAATTGAAGTGATGTTGTGAAGTGCTGGGCTGTCACCAAGCATGTACTAGATGATGTTGATGAATAATGCAGGTCAAATGAGCATGAGAAGGATCAATGGAAGAAGTTCAGTACCATCGTGAGCTTTCTTCAAGCACTTAATATGAGACTATGAGACTATTAAAACTACTCTTACACATGAGTGTTACTGATTAAAGGAAATATTACTATGTTTGATGGTTGCTTGTGTATACTTACTGGGGCTAGCTCTACATGGGGTTTTGTTTGTTTTGAAATTCAATGAGATACTGATTACTATCAATGCTCTCTTGTTGTCGTTGCAAATGCTACATGTTAGTCAAAGTCATAAAACAAGCTAAGTAGAGTAAACTCACATATATGTTTATTAGTATGTAAAATGTGCCGCTACATTATCTGTTTTTATTATAGCACTAAAAACATTAATTTATTCTTCTAGTTTGGCCATTTATATGTGCTAAAGTATGTAAATTGATCACTCTGTCCAAATAACGTGTATTTTGTCTTACCGAATGCAGTTATATATGATTAGTAATAAATGTTTTATTGATGTTGCTGCTGCTGCTCCTACTGTTATCGTTGTTTCTGCTTGTATATTTTGGTATAGAAGTTACGTATAGTTAGTGACCATAAAATTAATTGCCCGTAAGAAATTTAACTATGGCCTATGATATTCTACTGTCATTTTGATTGTTTAGTCCCGGTGTTCTATAAGAGTTAGAGGCAACGGGAAACTATTCATGTGCTCATCTGCGCTGAAGGTCAGTATGATGATACCTTTCCGGGTATCCAAAGTTTTAGGATTGCGACAACGTCAACACTTGCATGGTAGAGGTTAAAGTAAATCGAGTGAGTCAACATATATTGTGAATTGTTTCTTTCCGGGTTGTGTCTACGAAGGCGGTGCAACGCCTGCGAGTAGGAACGATGATATGGGGATGACAGCAACCCCAGCCTAATGGGAGATGGCGACATGTAAGTGAGAGATGTTTGTCTGCTTGTGTGCTGCCTATACACTGCTTCATTAGGAATGTGGGTGGTCATAATATTCTTTTAGTTTCTAATCTATTTGTCTATTCAGGGGATTTATCGTTGATGAGAAATTTGGCAGTTTGGTAGATTTGCAACTAAGAAGAAATAGAACTAGTCAAATACTTCACAAGTATTAATTGTGGGAGTACTCCAACAACTAACTGAGAGCACAAATCGAGGAAATATGCAATAATGAAGCGATCCCAAGCCTTCAGAATTGGCAAAATATCCTTGCATCATCATATAATTGTAGAGACTTAATGGTATTTTTGCTACAACCATTGTATTTTCAATGCTGATTTGGCAATATTTAGAAAGTAGTTTGAAGTAAAAAAACAAATGTCCTCAATTATGCACGAAACATCACTTTAATTTCTTGTTAGTAAGAAAAAAAATGTTCCAACAGGCGTATGTATTGCTGATCCACATCGTGTAAAAGTATTGAACATATTTGTACTTTGCATCCCAACAAAGTAAAAGTTCATACTAGTTTCTTTTACAATTAGGCTAGAATTGTATAGGTTCACTAAACCACAAACTTCGCAGCCAGATATATATTTCAATTTGTATAGGTTCATTTGATATTTTTCACAACTTATCGCAGAACCAAGTACCCAGCAGGCTTAGGTGTCCAGCACTGTACCCAGAAGTGAAAAACTGATATTAGTTACTCCACACAGTTTCATATGTACAAAACCACATTATTCCATCTACTAGTCAGCTGCAAGCTGGTAGCAATGGATATCACAAGAGAGGAACCAAAGAGAAGCAGAGAGGATGCTGGGAGATACAAAGATACAATTAGGAATAGGAGGCATCATGAATGAACTGCCTAGTATGATTATGGTATGCCAGTTGGATACACAGAATGGAGGTGCTTAGCAGATGCAGGGGACTCATAGCTTCTTTGTTTGGACCAATGGATGGCCATCTTGCCAAACGAGAAATTAAGCAGAGGTATGGCAATATGGTTTCATGCCTGCAATGTAAACAGCCATGGTAAATGGCAGGCCTGGAGATCAACAAGGATAAAAGAGCTATCAAAGTTTGCTAGAGCCAAACAATTGAAGAAATCTAACCGCCGCTCACCATGCGTTTTGCATTAGTGAATATCATTTGGCTAATGTAGTTTCGATGTGATCCTATAATCCCATATATTTATTGATTTTCTTTTAGACAAGGGTATTTTTTACCCGGCCTCTACATCCAACCGGACATATACGTCATATTTTAATTAGGACCTTAGCATATCAAACAGGAAAATGAGCCCTCAAATAACCCAATCTGAAATTCGCTGCTATGAAGATTTGAACTCAGAACCTTAAGGTGCTACTCAGGTCACTATAACCACATATTTATTAATAATGTCTTTATAATGTATTTCTTAACACTGGACATAGTAAGATTGATGTGGCCATTCTTCTTATCCGTCCTGTGGTTCATGTGTCATTGTTGAAAGTTGCCATCAAACCTGACACTGTGGCGAGTCCTGAGCTACCACTACAGACAGCTGAAATTAAACTTGATGCCAAGCCTGAAGCAATTCTTCACCGCAACCTGACTAAACGCGACAACTGACAAGACTGTTGTTCCATCTAGATTATTCTCGTGTATAGGTGTGCCTGATGAGCTAACACTATGGGAAAACATGCGACAACTGAAATCGAGGTTTAGCGGGGGTCACGCTGTTGCTTAAGCATGGGGAGTTGTGAGGCATCGTTGGGTGAGTATTTCTAGTGCCGCGTTGTTGTATTGCTCGGCTGAGTCCTGCCTTGTGCAAGTGTGTCAGGTCTCCGTGTCAGGTTAGCGGCGGTCTAGCTGTGCATGAATCTGAGTTATATAAATATCCTGTCGCCACACTCTCAAGTGAATATTGTAAAATGAAAATACAAAATACCAACTACTTCCTTCCCCTGTTCTTCCCAAAACCGCCCAACTATCCTCTAAATTCTTCCTCTTATTTGCACTGAGCATCCGTGACACTCATATATGAAAGACATAATTTATTAATTATCGTAGGCGTAGCAACCCAATAAATTAAGAGATATGCAGTATGAAGGAATCATTCATGTCTTTACATGCTACCTACTCGTCAAGGTAAAAATTCAATTCTAGCTTGTTCAAGTCATATATCATTCCGACCTATATATATACCTCCGCCCAAAGTTCTAGCCCTCACGAAACTAAACCATTAATCCTCCCAACTCTAGTTGGGCATGTCAAACCGACTTTTTAATGTCCCATACGGAAATTAATATAATATTGAAGGCTGCTAGTGATACTATTGTTTTTCCAAGGAAATGAGTGGCAACAGAAAACTAAATCTCTTCGGCCGTTTAATTCATATTTTGGCTTTTCATTTTCTATGAGCTCAGAGCGCTCGAAGTACAACGATGCTAGTTTCAATCATGTGGCAATTTTCTGTACATCCTGTCCTATTCTCGAACGAGATGCATGGCACACCCCATGTTTCTAGGATGCTCTAGCTGTAGAAAACTGTCTTCTATTTTGCTAGGCAACAACTCAAGAAGTTAATTCTGTAACTGCTACTCACTTGTGACGAAACAAGGATACAGACGATTGTGTTTCTAACTTGTACATGTCGAATAGAACAGCCCGGGAGCTGTCCAATGTTTCTTTGATTCTTTTCGACATGCTCAGGCGACTACGTCTTCTAGCTAACTCGAGTTAAGCAAAAATATACTCAATTCAGATGAAGGGTCTATTCAGATTGTAGCCAAAATAAACATTATCAAATTTTAGCAAAGTTATCAAATATGTGCATCTATTTATTTTTATTTTACCAAACTCTAGTAAATATATAAGAAATCCTATCAAAAGTTGGCAATATTGCCAAATTATCAAAATTTTGTCATTGCTAAAATTTGGTAAGATTCATTTCAGCTAAAATGTGAACATGCCCGAAGTGATGAACAAGCTTGGGTCTTGGGCTCTTGATGATCAGAACAAAAGTAAAGAAGTCCAGAAGTTTTAGCAAATAATTAAATTTTATATCAGAGATCATAACCGATGTTGGATGACTTTCTCAGAAACCACCGAATTTTTCATAATTTCTCTACGACCAAAAAAATTCATGAATTTCGTGAATTTTTAGATTTTTTTTCCACAAAATTATTTAAAATTTTTATGAATTTTGGTTGAATTTGACTATATTTTAACCAAAATTTAAAAAAAAATTGAGAGGGGGATTCCGAAATTTCAATCCCTAGCATAACTTCATTGTACATATTACTTAGTATCACCAAATTCTGGAGTTTGGCTGTATATAGGGCTGGAAAAAAACTCGTGACTCGTTAACTCACTCGGCTCGTGCCTGGCTCGGCTCGGCTCATTTGGATTTGTTAACGAGCTGAGCTAGGCTTTGAGCTCGTTAGCTATAACGAGCCAGCTCGCGAGCTGCTTGCGAGCCAAACGAGCTAAGGCCCAAAACAAACAGCAGGCCAAGGCAAGGCAAGCACCAAAAGTCCAACAAGGCCAACGAAAAAAGATCACAAGCCCATCAGTAGAGATCGATGCCCAACAAGGCCCAATAAGCCCACTATTCTAACCCTAAAATCTCTCCATGCCTCCTCCAATCACTCACTTCCCTTCTCCCGTAGCGCCACAATCGCTCGCTCACTTTCTTCCTTCTCCCGTAGCGCCGCAATCGCTCGCCGTCTCCCGTAGCGCTGGAAGCCCACAATCGCTCTCAAGTCTCATCCTGTCAAAAATCGTCGTCGCCGCCCAGGAGTCACAGCCCACGGCGCCACATCCCCTTCGTCTGCTGGCCGCCGGCAAGATCGACGCCTTCTCCCCTGCCTACCTCAGACCGCCCCAAGCCCCCAACCCTCCTACCTCGCAAATCTCCAAGTCAACCGCATGGCCGCCGTCTGACGCCCTTGTGGTCATGCTTCCTCATCCTCGTGCTTGCCCTTCTTTCGTTGGCTCATGAGCCAAACGAGCTAGCTCGAGCTGGGTAACGAGTCGAGCCGAGCTGGGTTTCTAGCTCATCTATTATCTATCTATCTATCTATCTATCTATCTATCTATCTATTATATACTAAAAGTCCATTAAACTTCCTACAAACGCTCAAAAGCCGCCATATGGCGCTCCTACAATTGCTATTAGGCCGCCACGTGGCACAATCTAATCTCACCGTCGATTTTTATTTAAATTGGTGGACCCGTTATTTTATACCGTTAGATTAGATCTATACTGTTGATTTATATTTAAATTGGTGGACCCGTTTTTTTACCAATAAATTAGATCTATATATAATACCTTTCTGCTATATATACTGTTTACAGGAAGGAAGAACACATGCGTACGTACGTACGATAAAGATGAAAACCAAATGTCTGACTCAGGCCTATATGACCGATCGATCGAAATACTCCAAGACTCCACCTTTGTCATATATTCTACATATCACATTAGATAGATATCATATTCATGGAATACGATTTACTTTCAAGATATCACATTAGATAGATATCATATTTATGGAATATGATTCACTTTCAAGATGCCTTGATGGTAAAATGGTAGACACGCGAGACTCAGAATCTCGTGCTAATAAGCGTGGAGGTTCGAGTCCTCTTCAAGGTATAATACGGAGAATGCACATTCAATGAGCATTCCCCGTAGAAGCATTCCGGAAATATGCGCCTGACGCTCTCCTCTATCTTCTGAGGTACTTAACCACTTCCCTGATAAAAGGAGACAGAAATAGTATATCTGTATTAGAAAGCTTATGTATAACTATTATTACAAAGAAAAAAAATGCACGTACCTACCGTAGAAAATGATAAAGCCAATAAGAAATATATGTAATAAAAAACAAATGTGCATGGAACAGAATCGATGGTCTTTAAAATATAATACTTTACCATATAAAATATATATTACTCCACAAATATGTGCAAATATAAACTAGGTCTATAATATAAATATAAAATATAGACAGTTATCTTTTAAATTATTTTTAGTTATATATCCAATCTGTGATCCCATTATATTCCTTTAATTAAATAAAATATTTGTGTCTTATAAAATTTATCGTGCGGTTCTATATACATCACATCTTGGGCTAATATATAATAATTATTGTAATGATAATTTTTAAATAATTTCATATCATATTTTAGGATGTCAAATATCACTTGATAAATATACTACGTAATTGATAAATAAGTTTGGAAGAATAAATACATTCTTTAAATTAGTAAAGGTATAACATGTGTTGTTGTCAATAGTAGGTGTTCAAACCAAACCAGGTGCTAAACTATAGGTATTTGTCAAAATATGAACAATAATATAGTGCTCTGGAGATTATCGTGGTGTTATGTCTCTCTTTGGCAATTTTCTTTCAAGTACCATCTGGTGATGGACCTTGCTTTTTTTCGAATGAGAGTATTCTAGCTGTACTATAAAAATATGAGTAGTAATGATTAATATCTTAAACATATTGTGTCTACTCTATAGCACAAATCTACTCAAAAATTAAAAAAAACTACTATCTTGGTCACGTTTATCTTTTCTTTCTCCTTCCCCGAGGGGCACCAAGCATAACCAACAGAGTTTGCTATGCTATCCTAAGTATAACAGAGACATATATAGGCTGAGTTAAGGCGATCCCAGTATACCAATGCAATACTACATAGGGGTGTGATAGTAAATTAGACATTAAATTGTGCTCCAAGTTCTGGAGGAGGACAACTATCCCAATGAGAGACCTATCATTCAAGGCAGTAGAGTAAGAAAGTCTTGACGATTATGACTGACTTCACCCACTAAATGGGCATTCCTGTTTAACTTTAATGGTTTAATTTTAATGGTGTATCCTATTAATCGGTAGAAGTGGTATTTTTAGAATATTTATATATGGATTTGGAAATAAGTAAGACATATACAGTTCCATCTATTAATAGATACTCAACTTTTAAAATAGTGGTAATAATAGATTAGATGTATTTTATTTTAAAAACTAATACCTTATTACTCTGTATACGTATACGGGAGAACTATAAGGCTTGAAAAGGAAAAAAAACATAAGTAGTTCGTACATACATCCGACTTGGAAAAAGAAATGAAACTTTACCTACTGTCCATCGGGAAAAAGAATCTATACACGGTGGTCTTTCAAAATAGTATTTTCAAAATCCCTTACAATAAAAACAATAAAAAAATGTGTATCATTAAAAAGATCGATGGTTTTTAAATATTATTATCTACTATTTAAAGATAAATATATTACACTACAAATTTACTTAAATATACATAGTTAAACTAAATTTGTATTATAAATATGAAACATCCCATCAATGACCTCTATTCGTTATAACTTACCATACGAGGCTGATATATACAATAATTATGCTATTATAATTTTTTATTTCACATCATATTTTAGGGTGTCAAATATTACTTGATGAATATACGACGCTAATTTAAATTTACATTTGTAAAAATAAAAAACACAATTTAGTTGTTTCAATTTATACCATTAGATTAGGTTTATTATTTAAAAATAGGCAAAATTTGCTACAGGACACTCAAAGATTGTGGCCTTTGTTGTGGGACACCCGAAGATCGTGAATTTTTTCGTGGACACTGTAAAAATATGGTAATTTGCTGCTAGACACTCCTCCGATTATATTATTATTTCCGGCCGAATCGGAGAAAGAAACTTTAGTAAATGGCAACTTTGCCCTTGGGTCAGTGTTTAACCCGATGGAGATGGGTCGAATCAGACCCATTCCCCATTTAGTGTCACAATCCCCTCTCCTCCAAACCCTAGGGTTAGGTGCGGTGGCGATCTGCGGCGACGGCAGCGATCTGCGGCGGCGACGTCGGCGAGCTCCGGTGACTGCGATGTTGGCGAGCTCCGGTCGGCAAGCTTCGGTGACTGCGGCGGCGACGTCGACAAGCTCCGGTGACTGCGGCGGCGAGCTAGGACGCTCTGCCGCTAGCAGATTCGAGCAGAGAAGTGCGGCGGCGATCTGCGGCAGATTGAGGTGGCCGGCGAGATGGACCAATCCTTGTACACGGGCTCGTCGTCAATGCGTAACCCAGTCACAGGCGAGTTGCACGTCGGTAAGTGTCCGTTATGCGGTACGCAGTTGGAAGCAAAGACATCGAGGACCCCTGCTAACCCAAACAAGCGGTTCGTGAAGTGTCCAAAGCTTGAGCATGTAAGTTTTAGGCATAATTTGTCTTGTAATCTAGATGCATGAATCCTCCATTTGCACCTCTTGGCCTTGCAGTATGCTCTGTACCTCGTCGATTCGCTATATGGAATTGCAAGTTCAACCTCTTTTAGTACTGCATACTGCCTAATGCATCTTTTAAATGTTTCACCGTCTTCAAATGTTACATCAACAGCTATCTTAGGATTGTCAAGATCAGTTATATGCACTACAGATTCACAACCCTGCTCATCATCTGCAGCTAAGTCGTCGACATCTTCATCAGACCCAGGTTCATAATCTAGATCATGCTCTTCATCATCTGAAACCAAATCCTTGTACTTATCCTTCTCATCATCTACACCGACATACTCTACCTCATCATTCTCTCCCCAAGCATCAACCGGTTTGTAAGTGCTACACTTCTTTGGTTTAGTAGAAGGCATAGAGGACTGTCCTACTTGACTTTGTTGTGTGAACAACACAATGTCAGTGCAAACATCTTGCGGCTCAGTGTTGCCCTGCTCCACACAAGGCTCTGTCCTATTCTGTGCGTCATCACTCACATCAACAAATAAAGGGAGCCTCCTCATCTCCCTGTACATATCGAAAGCATCAAGTAAAGATCTATCAGAGGCTACCTGCGCATATTGGTTTGCATTTTTGTCCCAAAATTTCACATTTAGCTCTTGCTGAGGACTATGTATGACCTCATCATCCAAATCGCTCATTAGATCAATCCAACACACTGTATCCTTGTCTACAATCCACTTAATGTTCTTACTCACATGATATTTGGGTCTCCGTTCTTAGTAAACTCGACATAAGGACCAACCCGAATGCAAACTCTACATGCCGAGCTGCAATCCATCCTACGTGAACACAAGTGAACACAAAACGCAATGAAATCGATTAAAAACCACTTCAAACATAACCCCAACAAATTTCATTTCAAGAAAGAAAATAACAAATCAATGCCCATTAATGCTTACCAGTCAGGGACCCATGACAAATCAATCGGCTTCAAAGGAGATTGACTGCTCGTAAAACGCACCGAGCATTTCTTCACCGCTGCCTTCTTCTTCCTGGGTGACCCCCTCCCCTCTAGGCACGACATTGATTCCGTCATCGCAGCAACCCCGAGCTCAAAGATCCATCGGTCGCTTCAATCCGCTGCTGACCCCCGAACCCCCTCGCTCACGACGCACCTCACCGCCGCCGCCGCCGCTGAGGCTCAAAGCTAGGGTTCAAAGGAGAGGGGATTGGTTATGTCAAGCTCGGGCTCACACGAGAGGGGATCGGGTCTGGTTCGACCAACGTTTACAAGAAAAATGGCGCAGGGGCTTTTTGGTACTTTCACCACCCTTTCTCTCTCTGATTCGGCCAGAAATAATAAAATAATCGGAGGAGTGTCCAGCAGCTAATTACCACATTTTTACAGTGTCCACGAAAAGATTCACGATCTTCGGGTGTCCTACAGTAAAGGCCACAATATTTGAGTGTCCTGTAGCAAATTTTGCCTTAAAAATAATACATTTCTCCATACATGGATACATGAGAAATATATAACTGTTACATCGGAAAAAGTACTCCGTACGTACATATGATTGAGAAAACAATAATACTTACATATCGTTTGCCGGAAGAACATAAAACATACTTATCATAAAGTCAAAAAATCGGCAATTCTACAATTTAGGGATAAAATCTTCAAGTTTACACAAATGTAAATATAAAATATCCAACCAATGCTTTTAAGCGTTCTATCTTTTAAATTATTTTGAAATTATATATCCAATTTGCGATCCGGTTGTATTCCTTCAAAATAAATAAACTACTATTATCTATAGCCTAAATACATCACAAATATGGAGCCGACATGTAATATTTATGTTATGATAATAATTTCAAATCAGATTTTAGGTGTAAAAACAGTTGATGAAAATACAACGCTAATGTAAATGTACATATTTATTCTCCAAATTACCAAAGGTGTCTCATGAGATTAGAAAAAATAGGTGTTGAAAACAAACCGGATACTAAACTAACATGCACTACACTATAGATTTTTATCAAAATATGATACGGTACTTTGGAGATTATCGTGATAGTATTTAAAAAAAATCACTTTGTCTCAGTTACATATAAATTCTTCTATTATTTAGGGATAAAATTTAACTCCTTCGATTTATGCGACGGAGGGAATATAAGTAATATAAGTCTATCTTTGATTAGATGAAGTAGTATCGTTGGCTATATTTTTAATACAAAATATCTTTCATTACTAAAGTTAAAATGTTACTTAAAGTCATCTATAGCATACAAAATTAAAAAATGTTATATAAAGATTGGAAACTCAAAAAATTTTAAAAAAGAATCACACATAATACAAATAGATATGAACTAACTTCATTATTATGACATATTTTTTCTAATAAATTTGAGGACATACAGTTTCAAGTAATACACCCAAACCAGTTATTAACGAAGATAAGTTTAAAATATAGTCAAAAAATATTTCAAAAATATAATCTACACATAAACATTTGTAATGAAAGTTCAAACAAGATTAAACAATATGCCCGCACGTATATGCGGGCTACCTTCCTAGTTAGGATAACGAGCCGAGCCGAGCCAGCTCGTTATCCTAACGAGGTAGACCGAGCCGAGCTGAGCCAGCTCGACATCCATCCCTAGCTGTATATCATATATCGAGATTTGGGAGTGGAAAAAGCAAAAAACCAGAGAATGCGACTTGTTTTTTTAACTAAAAATAGTGTAGATGTAGATATCGATAATTTTTTATGTCAATTATTTGGTAGTCCCTAGACTGTCTGTTCACTTGTGTTCACCATTTAACAGCTAATCGATTTCTGATAACATTGGTCGTGCTCAACAAGATTAGATAGATAGATAGATAGATAGATATAGGCAGAAAGATATTGGGTCGATATCATATAATAATGCAAATAAATACTTGTTTATTTTATCTGCATCGAAGAGAAATATATAGACGCATACACTGCGCAGCCGAGAAATTAATAACATGCATGAAATTATTTTGTCACGCCGGCGTCATCCTTTTTGCAGCAACACTGCTCGGGGTTGGTGTTGTGAATACACCGCGCAGTGTATTTCGGATGGTGATGGGTTCTGCATTTGTTGGTGCATGCTACAATCTTGCAGTGTGGTACTTCATCGGTGAATGTCTCCTCATCTAGAGATACATTCAATATGCAATGCACAGTGCAATATTAATTAACGCATGAATTGATTGAATCAAACAGAAATTGGCGGGTTAATCGATCAAAACTAACTAGTCAGTATTAAAATTGAAGTATCTGCGCTATATATATACCTCCATAGCATGATGGGATGGTCGACATAACCACAAAAACTATGCAAACAGCAACAGCTATCGAGTATAGTGGCCTCGACATATTGCTTTTCAATGGTGCCGTGATGACAGTGGTGCTAACTGTATAGTATCTCTGCACCACTTCTGTTTAATTTGGTGGGACTTAAACTGGCAACAACTTTGTTGTTGTTTATATAGAAGCAAAACAAAATCGCAGGGATAAGATATATAGATAGATATAGATACATGTTGGTCTCGTCAATTTAATGCTCTATATTTTATTGTGATGTTTAATGTTACCATATCTGATTCGCCAGTTTTGTGTTTTCTATTTAATTCCTCTATTTAGATTGGCATTTATTGCTTTGGGTTCCACTATAAAACAAACTAAAATGAGTAAATATATCTTTATCATCAATCAAATATAGTGGCATTATTTATTACTTTCTAGCTCTATGTATTGCTCAATTGTTGGGATTTGAGATTGTATTCAACCACTTTTCAATGTTTTTCTTCGGACGTGTGTGTGTTGGTGGGGGGGGGGGCTGATTCACTAATTGTCAGTCAGCATGCGCTGCACAAGCTGAAAGATAGTAAGATACACGGGCGACAAGGTTCGGGAGCTCGGTGAGGGCAGGATGCTAGAGGCAGAGCTGCGTAGCCCCGTGAGGCGGTGGCCAGCATATGATAGTGTTTGCAGCCTAGAGGAAGGGCAGTGAAATCGAATTCGCAAAATAGTTGCTTACCATCAAAAGAATTGAAAATTGAAGTCAATCATGAATTTCTACAGATATGATGATATATCTTGGGGTTAAGTGAAACTTATTTCAATGCACCCTAGTGTAAAGTATTTGCTAAACCTAGTATAAAATTAAAAAGGGTCTAACCTAACTGGTGCAAAGTGTAATTTGTTCTAAAATAAAACTATTTCAGCAGGAGCTTTTCATGATATGTAAGAACACTTCACTTTATTTTAGTATATTAACTACAAAGCATCATGTCGACGATAAGTTAATATTCTTTTAAGAGTAAATTTCACAAAACACAAACCACTGGGGCACCAGTAACACGAAACCTTAATTATTGTAATTTATTTCAAGGAATCCCATATTTTGGGGCAAAATGTATCAAGAAACCCATATATATAAAACACTCATATTTCATTATCATTTATGATTGTTTCAACATAAATTCATATTAGTTGAGTCAAATTACATATCCCTCTCGTTTACTTTATTTTTATTCTCAATTTTGCGCTAAAAATTTGAAAAATCCTAACTGACAATGACATGAGTAATCAAACCGTGGTGATCAACGATTGTTGAAAACGACTTACCTGGATATATATGTACTAAAAACTATCTCATAAATTTGTTCACAATTATTATAGACAAATATATTAGTTATATGGACTATATAAGCTTGAGCCCAACGTTTTATGAAATATTTTGTCCTAAAACCTAGTGTTTCATGAAACGAATAGCAAAACCTAGGGTTTTGTGTTATGAAAGCCCTGGAATGTAGTGTTTTCTGAAATTTATTCCTTTTAAATTGCAAAAATGTTTTGCATGCCTTAACTAAAATGCAAAACCTGAATTAATTTTATGCAAAAATGAAATAATGGCCCAAAAAACTGGGGTTTCATGATCAACAGCTGTTTTTTCATTGTTTTGACTAACGTAGACGCATCGAAATGTACCGCTGAGCTACTTTAGTTCAGGAAATTCATGAACCAGTCCCTTTCAAAGTTACCTCCTTATCAGCATTGCTAACTATCAAAAAGTGCTGCAGTGTTAAATTTGTTTGGTGGTTCTGAATTCAAAGCCCAGCTTCAGCTTGGTTTGTGAGTCGTCACCATCAGCAAATGGAAAGGTCTTACTCAGATTATTTTTCAACGCTCGATAGATACTACTTTGTGCAAAACAAAGGTTCGAAATTTCTTTTTCTACAGCACCCATATCGCTTTCAGATTGGTGCCTTTTTATTTATAGAAGTACTTCTTTGTTCATGTCTCCAAGACTTTTACAATGGCGAACCATTTTGCAGTTCTTACCTTTTTTATGGAAACAAGCAAAAAAATATGTAATAATATTACAGACAAAATATATTTTTATCAAATATGTTACTATTAGATGTTTTCTCATTTGAATATATGGTTTTAACTTGATTCAAACAAATATCTATTCCAAAATATCAGAAAATATCGGTGACTAATTTATAAAAAGTGTAAAAGCAGTGGGGGATGGACACCAGCACACCTCCGCCTATGCTGCGTTCATACTTCATCCTGTCAGTGTTTTATTTCTCATTCAGAGCTCTATAGTTCCGATCGAGGTTAAATGTCACTTTCACACGTGACAATCTAACATTATATACAAATTCTCACATAGTATATACGTGGGCATATATATGTATGTGTGTTATTGATACGCAGTTGTGATAAGAATTCTATTGGTTTGCCACATAGATTGTGAATTTCGCAATGTTTAAATACACAAAATGGATCACAATCATATATTAAGACAACGTTGGAAACACATACTCCCTCCGGTTCCATTTTAAATGACGTTTTGGACAATGACACGGTCTACGAGATATATCTTTGACCTTATTTTTCTATTATAATATATATAATAAATAAATACATGTTTACTTTTATTATAGTGCTTTAAAAGACAAATCTATATATTGTTCTATATATTGTTCTAGTTCCTTTAAACTAAATATTTTTAAAGTTATTGATGGTCAAAGTTATAAAAGTTTGACCTAAACCTTGTCTAAATCGTCAATTAATATGGAACCAGAGGGAGTATATATACTCCCTCCTTTTTTTTTATGTTGGTTAGCTTAAAATTAAAATAACCAGCGCCAAACATTTGGAGGAGGACACAGAATATTCAAGCTCTCCAATACACATAAATATAAATATATAATAGCTACAAGAGACATATATATAATTTATCAAAATTACAATTTAAGCTAGTACACAGCTGCTTTTCATGTTTAGAAATCTAATAGTACTTATAAAACATCAGAAACAAATAAATAATATATCTATCAGCTGCATGCTTTGTAAAATCTGACAGTTTTAGACTTGCATCATTATTGCCAGTAAATCTAACAAAGCAAGAATTATTTCAGAAACCATGGGTAGCAGATCGATACATGCTTGTAACTAATGACCAACGCCATCGCTTGGTGCTGACCACAGCGCTCTACTGCGCCCAGCGCCGCCCTTCGCCGGCGTTGGAGGCACCTGAACATGGATCAACTCATCTGAACATCGAGGAGTAGTACTCCTGCTGCTTACATGCTGGGTATCATCGTTTGGCACCATCCTAGCATGTGAAGGTGATGGTGGTGAGGCCACGAGGAAGATGAACAAGATCGCAATCGCATGAGAAAACCCCATGTTGATCAATTGAGATAGCTAGGCTAGATATATCGACGAACTAATTAACTCAAGCTATGTGGATATGGTTGCTTGTATGGTTTTAGTATGTTTATTGCGTGCCTGCTTGAACTTGAGCATATATTTATAGGGAGAAAAAGGTCGCTACTATGCATGCATATCTCAGATGCGAAACTATAGGAGAATTAATGAAGGTTAACGGCCGGGACAGTATGTTTGAGAGTCAAGTTAATTAGGCTGGCCGAGTCAACCAACTTGTTGTCACAGGTCTGCATCACATTTCCCCTAATTGTAGGCACAAGGTGTTGAAATTAGAAAGAGTCAGTGTGCACAATTGACTACTGTTTTTTGTGGATTGGATTGAGCTATACCTATATATATATACACACACACACACAAATGCATTAATGCATATCTTGATGTGATCTGTTAAACTACGTGCATTAAAACATTTATTAAGATTTTATTTAACCATATTAATCCACGGTTCGTCCCGTAACTAATAAAGATACAAAACATTAAGTGGTCCAGTATATTGTTCCTATGTAGTCTAACTAATGAATATAATTAATCTTGGCGTATTGACATCCTATTTCCTAGAGGGAGTTTACTAATGGAGGTGGCTATTACATTTAATTTTATTCAAGTCATCTGCAAATCAAATAAAAGTACTGATCAATTAAAACGGTAACATGTTAATATATTACCTCTGATAAAAAAAACCCTGTCAACATAGAATGATTTTATTTTATTGGTTTGTTTTGACTCAAATCTTGCTTTCTATCTGCTTCTTGATGCTCACGTGGTGGGATTGAGGCTACCTTTTACATTAAGGATGGTTCATCCATCTCTTATGACTTCTCTAACTCATTACCAATCCTATATAGATGACTACCATGCACGCATATTAGGGGTAGCACGTAAAAATTTATTCACTTGGTACTTCTACATCCAAATATCAAGCACTTCATTGCACGGTCCAGATGCAATGCCTCATCTTCAATTACCTAAACTATGCTTGCTTGTCAAAATAACAACTTCATTGAAAAAATTAATTTGAAAATTCTTATCAAGTAAATCATCAACAAAGTGGTCTGTTAGTCATTTGAATTGTTCAAAAGGAGTACTACCATATTCATTTGCAACACTTAATTCAGTTGAATTATTCAACACGGTAGTATCATGTTCATTTGCAACACATAATTACTATTTTTCTTGGCTGAACTTGCTGGCATGCAGTCCCCATCAATATAAGGAACACAAGTGAAAAGGCATAAATGTGTACTGTCCTTGCGCATCCTAAATCATATGGACTGACCTATGATATTAAAGTGTGAAATGCTCCCCGCGTCCCTAAACTTATCACGCTATGTAACATATACATTGAAATTGTAGATCAACCTCCTAATACTTGCTGAATTTTCTTACAGGTCCAAAAACTGTCAAATACCCTGTCACGCATACATACATCCCCTCAGAGATCCTATTTGGCACTGTTGATATTGTTGCCACCTGCCCACCTCCCTCCTCTCTCTCTAGCATGTGGTCCACCGCAGAAGCAACAATAGCGAAATGGCGCCACCAGAAGCAGAAGCATAAGCAAAATGACGAGGGAGCTTAGGGTAGGTCAGCAACGTCGAGGTTTACGGAGGAGCAGGGCCACATCGGAGGCCGGTCAGAGACCAGTCAACATGGGATCAGGAGATCCGAAGGGGGTGGAGTGGTGACCCGATGGAGATGCTTTGTGGGGCCTAGGCAATAATGGCCTAAGCAGAAGAGTATTCGAAAGTAGCAGGGTCTCTTGCTCCATTCAAACAGAGAAGTGGTGAGGAAAAGAGAGGGAGGGGAGGAGAAAGAAAGAGAAAGATGGTGGAGAGAGCATAAGGGAGGCAGCAGCAACGTCAACGCCACCTGACATTTTTGGATCTTGATGACACATTTTTAAAAG